TAATAATTCGTGACAAATGTTCCATTTATTGTAACTTGCAACACTTTTTACTCAAAAGGGTTTAAAAACTACTCAAATGTATTTCTTAGGATTTTTCTTAATTATTCTTATGCACATCTTTCCGTTTTATGTTGGCCAAGCTGATCTATGTAAGAAATCAAATTGTTATGTTCTTGGGGCTTTTGGACCTCAATGGATTTCCTTTAAGGGTTTAAAAATCAAAATACAGCTAATGGTTTTAAAAATTTTACATTAATTGCTGCAGGAGAGCTATATATAATGAGAAACATGGACAGTTTGATTTCAAATAGAATGAAATACATATATTTATATCAACCTACAATGAAATAAATGTAATGGCAGTGAAATTCAAATGGCTACAATTAAAAGACAGGCTATGTTCTTGACAGAATATTACTGTATCCTGGAACCCAACTATAGCAACTTATTCCCTCATTATATGGACATTTGAATTAAGATATTACTCAGGGTTGGCAAAATCTGATTTAGACTAACTTGTTTGTTTTATCTAAAGCATTTCTTAACTTGTCCGTATGATATTTTATTACTATAGTAAATTCTTGAAATTTTCCACTTGTCTGAACAGGTCATAGGACAACCTGGGCAATATAGACAATTGATTTTGCAGTCCAAGTATAGTATAACTGTTACAAACTTTCAATACATATATATCTTTAATATTCTCGAGAAAAAAAACTTGCTCTATGCAAATACTATCCACATACTGATGAAACATTAAAACAAACTTTAAATCCCTTCTGGCTAGTATCTTACATAAACAAAGCCGAACTTTCGGCCTGACAGATTTAAAATTTAAATTCAGTGTAATGAATCATAATAAAACAAAGCCAGAAAATGCATTTACTACGTTTATAAAACACCACCAGTCCTAGTTATACAATAATTAATATTAAGCCACCAATCATCGCAAATCTCCTTCTCTAGAAAGTATGTAATGATATCAATAACTTTTAGACGCAATTAAATATGTGGTGTTTTGGGGTTGTTTTTTTTTTTAATTTAAGGTAACTCAGGGATAGAAAATACTCCTTTATGCAACTTGATAAATGAGTTTTGTGACATGTGGTGACTATGAAGTTTGACTTCAGCAAAATTATTATAGATCTTTGGCTACGAGCTATAAAATCATTGAAGTACATTTCAATATGATGAATAACATTTTTATTTACAAGAAAACACAAGTAATATGTATAATAATGGTGTACAGATTTAAGAATGTCTCAATGCCTTTTGAATAATTACGTTGATGAAAAAAGATGCATTTTTTTTACAAAAAAATTGCTCATTTTCAATTGTAGTACGAGGTTAGTGTTACAAAAAAAAAACCCAGCCAAAAGTTCAAAAAATGAAGCCTAAGTAGAGTATTTTACTCAAAATCGATCATATCTCAGTCATTCAGAAATCAACAGTTTTGAAAGAAAAATATAATTCCAAATTGATTCAATGAAAAGAAACATGTATTAAAATATCACTTGTGACATTCAACGAATTCATTCCCACTAAAAGATCACGTCGACTTTTATAATGCAATTAAATGTTACCTTGAATTTAAGATCTCAATTAAACAATCACCTTGTCTTATCAATCATCCTCTTAAACAGATCTTTTAATTATTCAAATGAGTTGATATTTGAATGTACTTATGCGCTAGGCATGAAACTAATTTTCATTAACCCAGTACAGATAGCAAGCATACTAGAACTAAAATTAATGGAAAGTTTTGGTTTGACCAACCCTGTCGAGGATCATATGGTTTGGTGTCTTCAACTAAAACAACCCTGATGCTTATCAGTTATCTGAGCATAATTTCAGGCCAGAACACTTCTGATGCTCATCTGTGCATAATTTCAGACCAGGATCAAACATTATGTGCATTTTTTTCTTCTTTAAAAAAAAAGTGCAAATAACATTTTACCCATGCATTAACCAAACATTAATCTTTCTAAGAATATTTTATTAAAATCATACAAATTAACCACAAACAGAACTAAATTCAAAGCGGCACATGTTCCAAATGTTTATGCTAATTGAAATTTACACTCTCTGACTAAGCATTCTTGACTAAGAAGATGTAAACAGGATACTCACCTGCTAAATATGTAATCTGTTAAGCAAATAAGGCTTCTATAAGTAAATATTTTATTTTTTTCTAAAATCCAGTCACAGTTCTTGCAAATCTGCTGATTTACCATTGAAAATTTACCAAACAGGATCGGTCATATAATTCAAGGGAAGGGTCGCATAATTCATGGGAACGGTAGTGTCAATTTTCTAACGTTGTTATATAAATAACTACAGTTTCATCAACAGACAAGATCAGATCAGATATGAGATTAAATTTCGGGAGAATTCTAAATGAAATTTAACGAGAGCTCGTATTAAACAGAGTATGAAAAACAAATTAAATGGTTTAAAGGGTACCGGGTTTAAAAAAATCAGTGGGAAACGATAAGTATTGACAATAACACTTTCTATATCAAATAGACTAGAAAAAAATGAATGTAAATGAAAAAAGCTCTTAATATTCATTTTTTTATATAAAAACCCAGACATTACCACCTTTACTTTATCAATTATAGAAATCAGTCCGGAAGGGAGGAATTAAAACCATTTAAGATTGTGAAGTTATAATAAAAATAGCGATCAATTACATGCCACTTACATTTGTAACATTGATTTTCTTAATTGTATCACCATTTCAAATGCATCTGTAAATCACAGTATGCCATTATTCAAATAATGACATAGGAAAACTAACACTAGAGCAGATAATTCTATGGAACATTTCCTTGTACGGCTCTTCACGTATTTCAGCCGCCGTCAAGAATCAATAGTTCTGATCCCAAAGCTCGTAAGCATTTCTGTCAAGTCTAACAAGAGTTGTTAGCGTACCCAGATGCCTACTTCCATCAATTCTAGATTAAGGAAAATACCACAACATTAAATATCATCAAGTCAATTTTACCGAATACAGAATACATAACCATACCCAAAGGGATCCTTCAGCCAGCCAAGGATTTCTGTTAATGCATTTCATTTTAATTTTACTCATGGATAATTCAAATGTGACAATAAATGTCTTTAATTGTATAAAAGTAAATTTGTGATGAAATTTAGTTTTCCAGCTAAAATGTACATAAAAATTAAAAGGGTGCATAGAAATAATGATAACGATAATAATAAAACTGATGTAGTCTGGGTCAAAACAAAGCTTTATGTGTTACATGTGAAGCAGAACAGAGACTTTGGGTCAAAGGTTAGATCCAAAAATCATATTTCATTATCTCAAAATGAAATCGAACCCGCATTTAAATGTTGTATGCTTAAATGAGTAAATGTAAATGACTGATTTTGTGCTCACCAAATGTTTAAAACAATAAATCCAATAATGTACAAGAGGGTGACATGTACAGTTAGGATTCTTAACCTGTATTCCTAGATGTTGCAAAACTACCCTGTTCTTCACAAGAGTAAGCCAACTTCTTCACAAGAGTGCACCCACATTTACCAAATGAACAACTACCTAAGGGGAACAAAAATACCATTAATGCAAACCATTAGAAGAAGAACTGTTCAAGCATACCATTGTCTTGAACTCAACATAGCTAAATTTTAAGTCTGCAAAATAAATAGTTAACAACACTGGATTTCAAAGAGAAACTACTTGTCAATGAAATTTAAAAAATTATAACTATAGTCCACATTCACAAATAAAAATCTGTCAGAACTGGTCTAAAAATAGAAGTTATGTAAAATAACAAAGGGTAAAATATAGATAATTAAAAGATAATAACAAAAACAGAAGCACTTACATGAAAGTAGCTTAATCATTAACTAAATGACAGCTACTAGAGTATCTTTAAAAGCTGTGTTAAAATGTACAGCAGATAGAGATTAAAACAATATACAAAATGTAGTACAGGTTGTCAGGGTCAGTCAAGGTCGCTCACTTGGGGTCAAATTCCTCTGTTATAAAGGGTATTCTTTTGTATATCCCAGATGCAAAATGGTCGATTTGACACATACGGTAATTACATCTTGAGCATTTTTAGAATGGAGGTAGGAAAGAAAATGAAGGTCCAGGATGACTGAAGATACTCTATAGTGACATGCATCTTATGCAGACTTCAAATGGTTTGGTATCAAACTTAAAATCATCACTTTATAGTACAGTATTAAATTACATAGGAGTTAACCTGTTACTGCACTAAGGTGACAAAATCATGGGTGCAAGTTAAAAATATCAGAAAAACCTGAAAACCATGAATTTAGTATTTTTTCAATTGGGTTTATATAGAAAAAGAGAACTTTTAGGAGTAGAAAAAAACATGAATGAACCTCATGGAAATACCTGAAAACTTGTACCCATGTGAAGTTATCCTGTCTACAGTTATGACTAAGAAACCCATGTATGCATGTTGTTTACCAAAACAAATACTACAACTTTTCTCCCCAAATGAATGAGATATGGTGATATGAGTGATAATTTTAGCCTTGACAACAAAACCAGTTATTTCCAAATATTACTTTATATGAAGGTGAATGCAATTGAAATTTTCCGCCGCACTAATTACATGACTGATGATGTCCGTAAACGAGAACAAAATTTCGGTGACAAAATTAAAACCTTACTGATAAAATCTAGCTGACATTGCTCATTCAGTCACCAAGTAATTCAACTTTTACAAATTTAAAGTGTTTCAGCCAGGGTTACCATTAGATTAATCAGATAAATAAGTTCAATATACTATGCTTAATATATACTATAGTAAACTCACACTAGAATTATATGTAAATCATATTTTGTAATTATGAAGTTAAAAGAAGATTTAATGTTTTTATCACTAAAATATAAACCATTTATATTCAAAATTGCACAAAAAATTTCCTATAGAACATTATACGAAGAGCAAGGTAATTTTTGATTTCTTGATAACTAATGTATATTGATAACTTTTCCCATTTCTTGATACTAAATCAATTAAAGTACCATTATTATAACCTAAAACATACCATACTAAAAAGTAATGCAACCTTTCAGGCATGCACATAGTCATATATCAAAACACCAAGACATTTTGTTAACCAAACTTCATCTTTCATGTAAGTATATTACAGTGTATTAATCTTACATGTACACCTTCTCATTTTTAATGAGACTCCAGACAGAATTTTTTGTATTAATTATAGATACATATACATTACCATGTATTATATTACATGATAAAAATGCTGACACATTTGTTATCTAATTAAGCTGAGCATTAAGAGAATTGTAAATAAATGCTGACCTTGTGAAGAAATCATATCTCACCAATTAAAAGTTGCTTCATTAACGAAACACCAGGTAAAAAAGGTACTTTTATCATGTTTCCCACCGATAAATGTATATGTAAATATTCAGGGGGAATTTTCAGCAATAACAAGAATAAAACAGGGCCAGTCTTAATATCGATATTGAGGGTTGACCGCAGTACTGTTGTTAATCCTTGTTAATTTCAGATAAGTTACTGTAGTTTTGCTGTAGACCCTCGATATAAGATTTTGTGAGTTACCCCTTTATCACACTTAAATAAAACAGAAAATCTTAAATTTTGATTTAAAAAAATAAAATAAAAACTTTATATTAGTAACACGGACAAACTTTTATTGCTGCTTATCCTATCATCCTTTAAAGTGAACTTGCCTTCGTACAAATATCCTTATGCTTACATGTACTTGGCCAATACCATTATTATCATATGGGGTAGAAACTTAATATTTCTTAATTATTACTAAAAAATAAAGCTATTTATATAACAAAGACAACTTAACAAAATACAGATTCAAAACAAACACAAAATGAAATGATCTTCAAACAAATGATAGAAATGTCAGGATAGTTTCTAATAACTTCCATGTATTCCTTATACAGGCAAAAACAATTATCAACAAACAAACATAATTAAAACTATTATAATGTAATATGCATGAACAACAGTTAACTTTCAATGATAAAACAACATTTTTAAAGTTTATGTTTTCAACCCATGCCACGTTTCTTACCAAATTTCAAAGTGCCAGCAAATACTAAAATGGATTTTAAATGAATTTTTTACCAACTCATTTCTTTTACAGGTACTAACTAATGTACTTAAGTTATTTTTATACTGGTACTTAAAATTCAATTCATATTTGTTACATACTTCATTAATAATGTTTAGTGCTCGCCAATTTTTTTAAGCCAATCACCGACGAGGATTTTTCAAATATTCAGGTTTCAAATCTTAATAGAACAGATTTTATATAAACTGGACGTTTTATATTATAAAACGCAAGTGGGCGGAGCTGAGTTTCAAAGAGCGCTAAGGTGCAATATTCGCAAGCTCCGCTCCTTTTTAGCTTTCTTATTTACGAAGAACACCCAATATGCACTCTAACCTATACATAAAAATCAGAAACGAAAACAACAGTTAACAACATAACAATTAACATATTACCCCCAGACACCTGTTTCTAACAGCTCTGCAAAGAATATCAATCAATCAACAAGTAACATAAAAATTTAATATAAGAACTTTTACACTTTTACCTGTCCTTCATCGCCTGCCACAGCCCACAGTATTTATAAACAGAGTATATGTTAACAAAACTAAAATATTCCACTGCATGGTGCAGTTCTGTTTTAGAATTTACAAAAACCATATAGTTTCTTTGCTTCTTTCGGTTGTTTTACACCTGCAATGAGTCCTTCCGGGCAATTCCATGTCTGTCACTGGAATCTGCGATGATCATCAGCCTTGTTAAGTTTAAGAGAAAAAAAAAAATCCAATTTCCGAAATTTGCAGCAGAAATATTTCCCTATACAAGTCCTATATCCATATGTATACAGCAGAAATTTAATTCTCCACCCATTTCATTGGTCAGTGTACATTTATATGTAAATTTCACACAATCTTTACCTATATGTATTGTGAATGATTAAATGAAGGATTTGGAAGCTTTTTTGGCATTATTTTTCTCCAACTTGCACAGTTAATGACACATATGAATAATGACCGATATATTTTCAATTTAAAAAAAAATTCATTTTTGCTTTCCCTTTCAAAACATTTTAACAGAACTGGCAATTACATTGCAATGAAATTAACACTGCGCTGTTTTCGTTATACACAACCGTTGCCTTCTCTCTCCTCCAATGTGTCTTCTTAAAATAAGCAAAACCTCTTCAACTTATAAAGAAAAACATACCAGTCTATTATCAACATAAACGGGTGGGTAAGCTTTGCTATAACAAGACTGGCCACTACATTGCACTAGCACTTAAAATCCAGAAGCTGATAAGCACTACCCAAAAAATATTTTGATCACGCTATGTACACTAGTTTCTTCACAACAACAAAATCTGTATTTTTTCCATCGAGTGAATATCCGCACTTTGCAATTTCCGTTTCTTTGATATAACGATAATGCTATTAAAGTCAAATTCTCAGAGCATTCATTTCAGGTTCCATACGACCTTTTTCCTTCAGTTTCTAATCCTCCATCTATTCTTGTCGCCAACTATTTAACAATATACGTTACCGTACTAGGTTATTACTCTCTGAGGTAGGTCCATTTTGTGAATTGTCTCCAAAATTAAATTCCAAATTTGAATCAAGAGCAAGTTCATGCCGGAGAAGTTGTTCAACATCATAATCGAGATCAAGCATACTGTTCGTGTCTATTTGCTCTTCCAAACTCATGTTGCTCTCATTGCGAACAGGAGCTCCATCGGTTTGTGTATTACCACTTGATTGTGCCAACTGTGTGTAGTTTCCCATGCTACTGACAGAATTTACTTGGTTATTATTTATTATACTGTCAATATTTGACATTGGAACATTCTGTGAAGTAAACGCGGAAGTAAACTGTCCACCAAATTGCAGAGGCTGCATGGGCCTTACCTGAGGCTGATATGATGATGATGAACTCATGTGCTGTGTAAGTGCTGCCCATACCGTTGAATCATTCGGGGCTTCGAGGCACTGCTGTAAAAGAGATCTTCCGCTACCCATACCACCTGTTTGATGAAGCTGCTGTACGTGATTCATTGGCACTTGATTAACTGGTGAAGGAACTGGAGATGGTTTAATTGTCTGTGGGGACTGCACATAACGTGCCCGCGGGGAGTAATTTGATGGACTTAGCTGAGGAGAACGAGCTGGGGATAGTTGTGTATTTATCCCTAAATTTGTTGAGCCGGGACTAGTCATGGTTTGTTGGGGTAAAATCTGACGCTGCGTCAGCCCTGCATCCTGATACATACGATTTGGCGACAATGTTGTAAAATTTTGCCCTTGGCTATTTAATGTATCCAAATTTAATACTGTTGTCTGCTGTGAATTTTGCTGCTGCTGTTGTTGCAGATGATCGTTATATGAGGGTGGGGCAGGCAGCGGAGAAAATCCTTGACTGTCATAGTTGTTCTGGGAATTAAATGGTAACATAGAGCCACCAGAAAGTAACTGTTGCTTTAAATTCATACTCATATCAATATCATTACTGTCACCTGAAAGACCTTGGTTGGCAGACTCTTGTATATTAAGACCACCTACTAAAGAATCAACCAGTGAATATGACTCATTACTATTTGTACTAAATTCTTCTGTTTCGAGTTCTGATGCCCATGGAATGGGTGACATTGGCGGAACTTGACCATCGTGTAAATCGGGTTCAACAGCTGCTTGTATTGGAGACAAGCGACCACAGCTGCTAGCATTACTGCCTGCTCGAGTGCGGAATTCCGGACTCAAGTTAAAGTTGTAATGTAGGTCTTGTAATTCTTCTCCAGATAAACCGCCATTTTCCTGAGCCGCCCTTATTGCCTCGATACGCTTTTTGATTCTTCCCCGTTTCTTCTCTAAACTTTTAGTTTCCATGCTGCCTGCACGACGTCTTGGAGCCTTCCCAGGTTTGGCATCAGGGTTAATGACCCACCAAGAACTTTTTCCTGTTCCTTCATTTTGAATGCGCATGAACCGGCTGTGTAGTGAAAGGTTGTGTCGAATGGAGTTCTGAAATTATACAAAATATAGATGTCTCTATATTTCAATTTAATGATTTTAAATCCTTCAAACTATTTTTAAAAAAAGCCTTGTTTATAATACAATGTATCGTGAATTTTACTCCAGATTTAACTTACCACATACCAGTAGGCTAGTTAAGTAGTATAAATTTGAAATTTTGTGGAATAGACAATTAACATGAAGCTTAATTTGCATGTATGTGCTTTTTTGAGCATAGTGCAGGGCTTCAGTAAGTGGAAGTTTGAGAGCCAATTACTTCTTGATGCTTTTCCTTCTTGACCTACATAATAGGACTTCAATTTTCTGACTTCCAAACTTTGAGACTGGAATGGAATGGAAGCCCTGATAATGATTTCAAAGAAGTGAAAACAATGGCTATAGAAAGCAGAGCTATATAGTAATTGCTAGAAGACTAATATTCCATTAATACTGCATTTAGTAGTATGTGATCTGCGCTTGATAACTGACACAAACTAAATTCATTTTAAGAGCTTTAATAATCATTCCATTATAATTTGTCAATAAATTTCATCATCAAATAATACAGTAAAGGATTGTATTATAGTGTTTCTGATTATGAAATATTGTACATCTTTTATTTCAACTGACAGTAGTGCCAGGACAAAGATAAAAGCATTAAGTTGTTTTTGCGAAAAATTGATACAATTTTTTTAAGTTGAATACCGCTACATCCACTAAGGCTGTCAGTCAACAGTTGCTCTAACCATTACTTTTTTCAGTGAATACTTAAAATAGGTGGGTACATGTACATGATTGTAGTTATTTCTACTTTTAAAATAATACAATTGATACTGCATTTGCTTCATTTGCTATAACAGTTCTTTCAAAGCATACATGTACTAGTGCTTTTTTTCACTTTTAAGGGTACATGTACAGTATGGCAAGGGTCATGGCCTATAAGGAGATGGTGAAATTGCAAAACAGACAAAAAGACAGGAAAAGTAGATTCAAATATAAAACATTCCATTTCAAGTTAAATTGTATTATAATATCATTAAATGAGAGGTGAATGGGGCCAAATTTCCGCTAAAAAAGCACTGATCAATGCGTTTAACATGCCATCTCAAAGAAGGCATGTATTGTAAACTGTAGACCAAAGACAAATTTAAGTATTTAAGTTGTATAAACACAATTTAAATTGCACAGAATAATATGTAATATATTGATTCAGATTAAGCCAGCTGTTAAACACCTTGTTATAAAAAATGTATTTTCATCATCAAGACTTTAACATGTTAGAGACCAGACTGTAACATATTTCATTAAAGAGCAAAAAAAATGTTGAATACATTGTGTATTTACACAGATGTCTATAAAAATGTACTTTTATATACCACTACCAGATATTTATTAAACAACTAACTTGTTAAAAATGCACATTTCACAAAAAAAAAACATGTTGTTATGATTAATCTAGAATAACATAATTATATCTTAACTCAGGAAAACAAAACATACTTTAAACCATTTATTTATATAATTGCATATCTTCAACGCCATGAAGTTTATTTTATCAAGTTCATTTTTACCCATGGATGTACTTGACTGTAAAACAAGATATAAACTGCACTCAATCAACTTTTTTCTACAGATTCAAAGTTGGTGATGTTATTCAATCATGTTTATTTAATAGAAATGTCAAAGGTACAAATCTACAATTTTAAAGGAGTGCTGTATACTCACTAGTTTGAATTAAAAGACCTTCAACCAGGAAAAAAAGAATAACAGTATATATATATAACAGGTATCAGGTATCAATAAGGAGTGTTTTTCTAGTCTTGACATGTCAGTATAGTATGGAGTAAATTTTGCGGTTTGTTTGTAAACAAATATGTACTTAAACCTGACGTAATTCTACCACGCACCTATTTCACACGACCTAGATTTGCTCTTATCCTTCGTCTATTATTACTCATACAGGTGAAAGCAAAATATTGCGAAATATTGCCTCTATCATCATAATATACAGAATATGCCAAACTGCACAGTATCACATTGTTCGACCTTGATTTAGGATATTCTTTAGGATATTTAGGATATTATTATCTCATATTTTGTGCAGTATAAATTCATATAAGTGTTTTTTTTATTCTTTTGTGTTGTATGCAGTGACCAGGTTTTAAAGGATAACCACGCTTTCAAACCTTATCCAGCAAGAACTTAATTGATTGGTCTTAGCTATCAGTATAGGGGCCATTAGAATTAAAAATAGCAATGTTTTGATAGAAAGGAAAGACAACAATGTATTCATATTGAACCATGATTAAAGATATTTATATAAGCTATTAAGCATTATTGTCAAGTAATCTTTTTACATTTACATGTACTTATACAGGGTTTGCATTAGTAACAGATAAAATAGATAAATACAGAATCCCTAAAGAAAGCCTAACACGGCAAAATTGAAAATGTTACAGGCTTGGTTTGATTGAGCCTGTTCATGAACTGTACTGTAAAGTGCAAGCTACATAAGCCATCCGTTATTAACATCATTTGAAAAGCTGTTAAAATTGGCTTTACATGTACACGTATTTTCAGCCTCAGTGTATATAAAAATATCCCCTTTGATCCTCGGCCAAATTTGCGTTAATAGTCTCATCATTATGAAATCCCTGCTTATATTGAATAATAATCAAGACTGAATACTATTCCTGGGACTGAGTGATTGAGTACTAGCACATTTGTCAGGAATATTCCTTAATCTGACTAATATGATACTTGAATTTGAAATTGAGCAAATGTTGAATTATTCAGACAGTCAAGGTCCAGATATTTAAACAAGTATTTATTTTACTTGCAAAGACTTAATATATATTTAATTTTTCATTTTTGTTTGTCTGTTATGTAGTTTCATTTCATGCAGGGCTTTTTTTCCTAGGCCGAAAGTGTCAAGGGTTACCCACACCTTTCTGATTTGTGAAAGATAATTAAGCATGAAGACAAAAAGTAAATATTATGAGAAAATTAATTCTTAAGATAAATGAAATAGCTCTTGAAAATGTAACTGATCAAAAAGTCTTGGGTATTTGCATAGATAACAACTTAAAATGGCACTTGCAAATTGACAATGTTTGTAAAAAACTTAACGGAAAAATTGCCTTATTGAAAAAAATATCGTATTTTTTGCACTCTGATATGAAATTATTGTTTTACAATGCATATATATTGCCCATTATGGACTATTGTTGTATTATATGGGGTAAAGGAAACACAAACTACATAAATAATGTTTGTAAGTTACAAAAACGAATTGCTAAAATCATTTTACAGCAACCTCAAAGATCTCCGTCAATAAATCTATTCGAAACTCTTAATTGGTTACCGTTCCTTGACAGATGTAAATACCACACGGTGGTGCTTGTTTTTAAAACTTTAAATAACATGGCACCGACTTATATGACAGAACTGATGACTTTATCCGACAACAAAATATATAACTTAAGATCTAGGTCACGAAAAGATATTGTATTATGGACAAGACTTAAAACAAATTATATTAAAGACACATTTTCTTATTATGGCATGAACATTTGGAACAATATACCTTTAAATATTCGTAATGTTAATAACCTTAAATGTTTTAAAGAAAAATACAAAGCATATCTTGATGTTCATATGAGTGAATGAATGAGTGAATGAATGAATGAATAAATATATACGAACGAACGAATGATGCAATATACGTATATGTTTAAACAAATTGTTGAGTGTCTGTCGAAAGTATACGAGTTGTATTATTCTAAAAATTACATATTATACACTCATTTTTCTACCTATGCATATCCTGTTGTTGTTGTTTTCTATTTCAGAAGGCCACATTGGAAATAAGATATATATGATTGTTATTGTATGTTCTTAATGTGTAACCTTCTTTAAATAAAGATATTATTATTATTATTATTATTATTATTATTATGAAGTTTCTGGAAATTGTGGAGTTTTACAGCAATGTCTGAGAGGAAATTTGCACAGATATTTTGATGACATACTCTTTACAACTCTAGATTTTCCTTTATTATTTAATGTATGATAAAAACGAAATATTTTATTGAGCAAAAAATACTATGCACTCTATATACATGTATATAGTATAAATTTACTATTATAAATACTACAATTATGACATATTTTTAGTTAAAAATGAATACCTATTGTTTTGGTCTTAACACTATAAATACGGACCCCTATAAATATGATAGTAATGATACAGACCTCTATACTAATATTGTTTATTTCAGACAAGTCATTATTATAGACATGGCAATTTGACATTTTTATTTTTATTCTTATATTATCAAAGTGTTCAAAAATAAGATAAAACCTACCATGTCATTTTATTTTTTTCTTGATTGCTGTACATGTATGTCAAGACCTGTCACTAAATTAATTGATCTGTTGATTGGACTCATGTTAGATCATAATAAATTGGTCTGACAGACACTGCATACATGTACATTGTACATTGTAGTGGGCCAGTGTTTTTGTTTCGTTTTTTTTTTCACTTAGGGTCCTGGCTACATGACATGCACCTGTGTATTACTCATTAAAAATCTAGGGATTGTGACTTTGTTCTATAAAAGTAGTACTACTAAGTCTCCCATGTTTACAATTTTTTTATAAACCCTTACACAATTGCTAATCATTGAAATGATACCATTTAAAGGGTATTATACCAAGTTGTCAATTTGATTACTTATTATCTATTCTATTCTATTTATTACAATTAAAAATACTGTGCAGAGCTTATCAGAGGAAGTCAAGTCAAATTTTCTGCTTTTTTTAAAAATTTCATTCTTTCAAAAGATTAAAGAAGGGTTAAATTTACCAAACAAGTACAAAACTTTCAGCAGTATGCAGGGCTGCTTACTATCATATATATTTTCTGCTTTTTTTCAATTTCACTCTTTCAAAAGATCATAAAAAGTCAATTTGCAGAAAAAAGGTTAAAATTCCAAGCAGTGTGCAGGGCTGTTTACCTTCATAAGTCAATTAATATGAGCTTCACTTTCATAGATGGTTTGACAACACTTACATCATTCTTCATTGGTTAGAAACAGGCTTTATTTTGTGACAATTTTATGATTTTAACAAGGGATTTGAGGAAAATTATGCATTGCTGTTGTAAGATAAATTAAGTCTGTGTTTAACTGTGTGCTATGCAGTTTCATGGCTACCAAAAATGTAAGCAACCATTTTGATAGCCCTGATAACTTTTTCTTTCTCAACTTGTTTTTACTCAGTTTAGTATTTGAAACTGATTTTAATTACACTATGATTATTACAGGTAACAGGTAATAAGATATTCTGGTAGGTAAACGGCGGCTGACAGCGTGAGCCCTGTAAACCTTGTCATTATGTTTAAACAGTCAAAAATACCGCAAATTTTACTACTAAAAATTTAAAAGAAATTGTTTTTAAAAACATGTGCATGTAAACACGAGAGCGTTATATGTACATACTACTACTAACTTAAATTCTCGACAACCTTTTAAATGACACTTAAGCGGGCTGTTAGGGCTTCTGGAATAATCTCTAACAAAGTTTGATTTAGTAATGCTGTTTCAATCTATGTAAGGTGCATGACAGGCCTAGCACCTTCAGGGAATAAACATGATCAAATTAGTCTTCAAATTAATCTTGATGTACATCAAGAAAGCATTCACACATTTAACTTTAAATAACTGATTAAGACATTGTTACATGCATATGTCCGAATAGTATCTGGGTCAAGCAGTAAAATATGGCCTCATCAAGTGTAACATAATTTCGTCTATCTCAAAAGTGCATACATGTAGAGTAAATACAAACCTTCCATCCAGCAGAACTTGTGTTATCCCCTTTATCCTTGAAATAAGGGACATTTTGTACCATCCAGTCATAAATCTGGGACAGAGTTAGCCTCTGCTCAGGTGAGCTTTGAATAGCCTTCGTAATTAGGTCGGCGTATGATAAATTTCCCCATGCATTTCTTCGCGATGAAGTTTTTTGTTTGATCCCTAAAACATCCTTTGTATGATCAATGACACCCGGATCATCCGATGCCGGTGACACTTGCTGAGCCTCAACAAAATCCTCAACAGGTCTGCACGGCCATGTATTTGATCGTGCTCTAGTTTGAGGCTCAAAATTCGGATCAATCTCTCCCACCGATATGGTTGCGTCCATTTTGGATTTTCTCTTAAGCAAGCACTTGTTTCACTAATTGGATACACTTTCCATCAAATAATACACTCATACTATCCTGCTTACGTAATAATTAACATCCATTTTATCAATTGTATGCTCAAGTTGTGTCCAATACACAAACATGTCAAATTTCAAGCACGAAAAATCAAAACATTAGTAAACTAATTGGAGTATATTCTTTCTATTTCGGGAACATGTGATGACGTATTTGTTGTCACGGGCGATTTGCATGCGCAATACACTTGTTGCGCAGGAAAAAAATCACTGGATGTCTACTGATACGCTGGAAAGGTATTTCGATTGAGCTATTGCACGTGCAATATCCAAAATGTTATAAAAGAAGGCGTGCACATTACAGGAGGAAAAAGTATTGCATGTTTAATTATGAAATTGCAACAAAGTTACTTCAAGGGCGTAGCGCCCATTACGCACAATACGCAATTGCGTATAAAAAAATTCCGAAGGTAAAAAAAATAAAGTTGAGAAAATCTAAGTTTTAATGATTTTATCGCTATAGATCTAGATCTCCATTTTAGTTTACAAAATATTTCGTTAGACCAATCCTTTCTAAATCGTTTCCTTTGGAATAGCATTATTTTAAAACGACTTTAAATCTTTTAAGTTCTAGATCAAGATTTTAAAAATCATCAACTCGGGGCAAAATTTAATTTTTGGTGTGTTGTTGTGTCCGCCAAATTCCAGGACAAGCGACCCTGTTTATGGTCCTCAAACAGGACCCCATTCAAGTCGATAATGAATCTGACCAGGCAGAAACAAAACAGAATTCACAAGACCTGGCATGTGACCCTCCAGTGATTAGCAAATCAGATGCCAATGTCGCGTCTCCTTCTCTCCCTTCTTCTTCTCCGTCCACCTCCTCCTCTTTGTCTCCCCCTGCTTCTTTCCCCCTCGAGAACCGCTAGAAGCTCCCTGGGAGCACGATTCCTGGATATCGGAAGTATTAATATCAGAAGCCGACTAAGAATGCCAGATTCTAAAAAAATGTTGTCCTCACCGAACGGTTCGAGCCACATACAGGTTTGGTTGCACCTCTCAGAGAACTCGAAAAAAGGCAACAAGTAGGCAAGTGCCAGACTTTGCGTTTGAGCAAGAGAAGCACCCATCTTCTTAAGGTACATCCCTTTATTTGATGGGGTATTTTGTGCTCTATGTTTTGCCTTTAATGCGGCTGAAAATGTGCTTGTTGCTCGTCCGTTGATTGACTGGAGCAACGCAAGAAAAGTCGTTGATGGGCACACACTCTCAAAAGAACACATGAATTCCATCACAAGATCCGACCACTTTGTACGCATCTGGAAGGAAGAGCAGAATGTGGTCGAGTTCGGATCGACGGCCTATCAGCAGAAAGTACAATAGAACAGGGAGACGTTAGCAGCCATCATTGAGGCCATATTTTTTGTGGGCAACAAAATATATCTATGAGTAAGTCTGTTACTTTCTCATCACCGCCTGAGGAGACCTATGGAGTGATCATTAGACCATTTACTATATCGTTGTATCTGGTAATTTCCCTACTTTCTTACAATGGAATAGAAGTGTTCTCAGAGTATAATTTTTCTTGTGCATTTGGAAATAATATATACACTTGGATAAATAAGACTGAAGGCTTGAGAGAAAAGCCGTTCTTACCAAACTGATTTGATGAGAAATGCTAAAAAAAAACTTGTTATCTGGTTAAATGCATTTTACAATTGAACGGGCATTCATACATAAACCAATTTCATGATCTGCATCCTTAATCAAACTTCACATGGAAAAAAATTTGTGTCTGTTTATATGCACGTGTAAAATAAGAAAACTACAAGGCGTACACTGCCTTTTTTCTTCACAAATCTGTTTCGAAGTTATAATGAAATAAGTTAAAAAGTAAAACGAGCAGCTATATGTTTATCAATTTATGGAGAAAAAATGACTTGAAAATGCTTCATGCTTTACGTGCAAAAGGTGCTTCAAGACATGCCAGAGCCCACGATTTAGCATCTAATTTTTCAAAAATTTCCGGGGGAGACCCCCCGTACCCCCACCAGCGGGATGGGGACACCCCCTCCCTCACGCTCCCCCACTCGCCACTTCGTGCCTCGCTTTGCGTATAATTTTTCAAGCCCTAGCTACGCCCCTGAAGTTAATTAAAATGATGATAGTTTAATGTATATCTAATAGGCCACCTTTAATCTGATTAAAAGATTTGTAAAACAGCCTAGGCCTATTAGGTCTAGATATAAATAAAACATACTATTCAAAAATGTTGGCATTTATATTTCAGTTGGCGAAGAGTTCCAAACCTATGATAATTACTTTAGTAAGCTTATGTCTATAAGAAAGAGGATGCATTCATATGGGGTAGGACAATTTTCACATAAAAAATGGTATATACATTTAGTAATTGACAATTAAATTGCCAATTAAAGTCCGTGGTTAAAAGTGGCGAAGAAATATTTAATATAACATAAAATTGATATTTACGATGATAAACAGGAGCCATGGATACAAGCAACGACAATTGGTGCAAATATGGAGATAGGGCATAACTTTCCTGCATATTTTCTTATTACTCGTATACATGTATATAATAGTCGGCGCATAGCTATTAGAATAATTATACTGTAGATATACAATGTACTTTATTGGCTACACGAATAAAATCAATGTTTATACTGCAAATAGAACCGTGATAAAACTACCCATGAAAATGTTATGGTCTAATGATATCTTAAAGACTTTTTTAATATTTTTATCCATTTCAAAATGCAACATCTTTAAGAACAGCAATTATTGTCTAAAATAAAAGAGCGACATTGTTTCAACATAGTCTTTCAAATAGAATTTGGTTTCAAATTGGTCTTTTGTACTCTTATTCATGTTGAATGAAATATCAAACTCAAATGCACTCAAACTCTTTTTCTTGCTACACTTACGATGTAGGTTTGGGCTTTATACATGTATAATGTTTGTGTTTGACTGTTATCTGTCTGGAAAGACAGATGAGCTTTTGCACCCCCATGCAATTTCTATTTTTGGTCTTTTTGAACTAAAAATTATCTATAAATAATCACTGAAACCCACTGTTGAAATCAGAATGTCTCCTGATTTCAAATTTGATATTTGAAAATTTCGAAAATGTATTTAAAAGTAAAATATTGTTACGTGAACAAAGACAGTAATATACACATTAATTCAGATTATCACTGACATTCCATGTAAATTGCCAGAAAGATGTCAAAATAAGCCTAAATATAACCCTTACTCGGGGTAGAAATATGTTTATAAATACTGCAAACTCAGTCATTAATCTCACATAACATGTAAATTATTACGTGAATCTTTAATCTTCATACTTTTCTTAGAATCTCAATACATTTTGGAGGCGTGCAGTACGTCTTACGTGTCTTTCTTAAATTCTTTTACCCGTCTCCAACATAATAGGAACAAATTTCACTCCATCATATTGTTTATTTATTTATTAATTATTTTTATTTATTTATTTATTTATTTATTTATTTATTTATTTATTTATTTATTTATTTATTTATTTATTTTGCATTATGCTTTTTATTTCCTCGTATATCTGTTCCAAATTTTAGACATTAAAGATACTGTATCTTTATGAATATATCTTTCTTAATTTACGGTCACCATTAAAAGACCCTGCTATCAATGATTCAATATCTCCTGCAAGACAGAGCTATGCACCCGATTGATTTAGACCTTTGCTAAAGTATAGTCCTTAAAATAGAGTCTATTTAAAAGACCCTGGGTAAAGTATCATAGAAATTGTGACTCAGTTTTGATTTAATGAACAAAAACACAATTCTTTTTCACATAGTCTCGACAAGGGGTACAGGGATACACAAGGTTACAATGGGTTACACAACTATAATTGTGTTTTAGGACAAATCCATCTATGTAACCATGTATCTCATATAATAAGTGATTGAAGATGAATTGTGTTTTTATTACATATCTATCAGATTTGTTTAAAATATTATGATGCGCACGGAGAGGAGACGTGGAGTTGCTCGCGATTGTAAAATATAGTAGATGCATTTTATTATCTAAGTTTTGAAGAAAAAAATAAAGGAAAAACAGCAAGGGAGACCGACATTCACTGATTCACGGAACGGAACATAAGCCACAAAACCATCGGCAGGTACTCATCTAGGTAGTGAAAATATTTTGACGTGCCAAAGTTAGATCTGAGATATAATTGTTCTGGGTCAGAATCTCGCTGGAGGGGACATATTGCGGATACAGAAATTATCACAATATCTCTACACGTAGTACAATTAGTTGGACTACCAACTAGGCAGCTAGGAGATAATACAAGGTTGAGCCAAAGATGCGTTGTTATTTTTTCCCGCCTTGCAGAATTACGCTTGGCGGGAAACATTTAAGTCATACAGTTGCAATGGTAACATGTGATTGATTTAAGACATATAACACTCGTGAGATTGGCAGTATTCATAGGTAGGTAGGCAGGCAGGCAGACAGTTTGGTAGTTAGGTAGTAGAATGTTCATTTCATTTCAAGTTTATAAATTCATAAATATCATGTGAATCATATACAGTATAGGGATATTGCAAAATCTAGATATCTAAAATATATAGTGCTTGTGTAATTGAAGGTCGGACAATTGAAAGAATTGCATGCATATGCATTTTTTCCGGAGTAGGGATGGACATGCTATTTTCTAAATGGTAATATTTCAATATGTGTTTAAATATTTGTAGATTTTGAATAAAAAATCTGGAAAGCTTAGATCCCGCAAGTGTTATGCGAAAGTTGAAAATTACAGCCTGAAAATTACAGCCTCGGTTGAATCTGGAAAGACGGATAATGTTTGATCGACTTTGCGGCGTCCCTCATGCTCCCTTTAGCATAGTCACAGACAGTTGCTATTTTAAAGCATCCCGAGGGCCGTCTAGGGAGAGATGCATGTTTAGCAATGCTAGGTACCGTGAAATACGTATCAACTTTAATCAGCTCCCATATCTTCTGCGAGGAAAGGATAGATATCTCGAGTGCAGTAAAAACAAAATTCAGAATTTAAAATTAGAATTGCATACTCGGTTTGATTTATTTCATTTATATATATTGTATAACATATATGTCACTTTTTATTTGATATTCAGTCTGAATACCAAATTAGAGAATAAGCTTATGGTGTACACTGGCTGGCAGAGAACATGTATCCCTTTTATCAATTTTCTAATATAGTTCTCTGCAGTACTGTGATTTTAATTCTTAGAGCGACCTCTGAGAGTGGGATGTAAAAAAATGTTGCGTGGTTAGAAATCCCACAGGTGCTTGAAACAAACTTTTTAAAGTGTTATATGGGCTATATACTATAATAAGATATCTTAATATACATATATAGGCCGATTATGTAAACTATTTGATTATGTGACTAGCGCCTGTGAGAATCCCTTTATTCTAGACCTCATCAAATTTTTGTCATAAAGGAAAAAACATTTAGTGGTGTTAAATGAAAGGGACAAAACTCTTGCAAGGCAAACAAGATTGCATTTGAGAAAAAGCTATGCCACCGCATGGTTCAAATTTCATAGCTGTACATCAAAGGACAAGAAAGTAGGTCACATCATCAAAATCTAGGTCACCTGATATCAAAGTTCAATTTTACAACTAAAACTGTGCACATGGTCAAAATGTCATTGCTGTACATCAAAGGACAAGAAAGTTGGTCACTGTCCCCTTGGGCAAGGCATAATTTTGACCCAAGGGTTTAATTCAAAACAATTTTGATACAGGTCCACCAAACAACATTTCAAGTCAAATATCTAAGCTATTAGCTTTCTCCCATTCAGAAAACATTTGTTTTATTTTCTGTTTTTACTATGTGTACATAATGAGAATCACTGCCCCTGGGCAGGGCCAATTTTGACACCAGGGGAAAATTTTGAACAACTTTGGTAGAGACCTATAAATGATATTATATATCAAACATCAAAGCTCTATGCCTTGTACCTTCAGACAAAAATACTTTTTATTTTTTCACTATATGTACATAATGAAAATCAATGACCCCCGGGGCGGAACCAATTTTGACCCCAGGCTATAATTTGAACAATCTTGCAAGAGGTTCACTACACAATGTTTCATGCAAAATATCTTAACTCTAGCCTTTGTAAATTTAGAGAAGATGATTTTTTAAGTTTTTACTATATATATATATATATAAGGAAAACCTATGGCCACCGGGGGCGGGGCTAATTTTGACACAAGAGGCAAAATTTGAATAACTTTTGTAGAGTACCTTTAGATGATATTAAAGCTCTAAGCCTTGTACCTTCAGACAATAAGATTTATTTATTTTTTACTATATGTATATATTGAAATCAATGACCCGAAGGGCGGGGGCAATTTTGACCCTAGGACTTTAATTTGAACAATCTTGCTAGAGGTTTACTACACAATGTTTCATGCAAAATATCTAACCTCTAGCATTTGTCAATTGCTAGAAGAATTTTTTTTGAAGTTTTTACTATATACATATAAGGAAAACCAATGACCCCCGGGGCGGGCCGATTTTGACCCCAGGGCTATAATTGAACAATCTTGGTAAGGGTCTACCAGACGATGCCTTATGCAAAATATCTAAGCTCTAGGCCTTTGGGTTTTTACAAGAAGTATTTTAAGTTTTTACTATATGTACATAGTGAAAATCATTGACCCCCGGGGCGGGGCCAATTTTGACCCCCAGGGCTATAATTTGAACAATCTTGTTAGAGGTCTACCAGACAATACCTTATGCAAAATATCTAAGCTCTAGGCCTTTTGGGTCTTTACAAGAAGATTTTTTAAATTTATTCTTATAATTCCTTTTGGTTGCCATGGCAACCAGATTTCTGCATGGAATTAAATTCTTTGAACAACTTTGGAAGCCCTTCACCCAAGGAACAATCCTGCCAAGTTTGGTTGAAATTGGACTCGTGGTTTTTCACAAGAAGATTTTTTAAGTTCACTATATAATCTATATAACACACACACAAACACACACACAAACACACACACGCACACACACACAGGTGAATCGCTATATGCCACCGCATCGCAGATGCTGCGGTGGCATAAAAAAATGCAATAAAAGATCAACTTTTCACAAGTACATTTATCCATATTCTTACGTCTTGTATTTGATATTGAAATATTTAAATTTTGCTATTTTCAACAAAACTACTAAATAAAATATTGTACTTTTTGTTGTCTATATCAGATGTTTAATCAAAATAAGTAATTAAATCTGTACTGTTCGGATAGTTATAGTAGTCGGATAATAAGGAAAAAAATGTGGCATAAAATGATACGGGAACAAAAACACACAAAAAAAACTAGTATGCAAGTAGTTCGGATACAAAAATCGTATAGTTAGGATGGTCCCCTATGGTGGGCCTACCATTGTTCTTATTATTTCCAGCAAATTGTACAAATAAATGAATGATGAACCTGTATCCTATTTACTATTTTGTTAAATTGTGTTTAACTGTCGCATCTTGACTTTAAAATACACACGCCATTCACAGAATAACTCAATGATTTAAATTAGAAGCATCTATGATCATTCATCCATGTTTTGATTGGGAGCTTAAATGGAGAGCACTATATGGTACCGCGGTATGTAAATTGAGGGTCTGACTATACTCTAACAGTTGAGGTAAACATACGCGTGATAAAATCTCAACACTTGAGGAAATACCGCTGTAAACTAAACCGCTGACGAATTAGCTGACGATAGAGAGTAAATAGGAAACTGCTGGCCAGTTAAATGGAAACTGCGGGAAAAAATATAATATATTTTATATATCTAACTGGTTAGCACTTTTTATAATAAGTTTAAATTGGTCAGCAGATTCTACCATATGTTTAACTGGGGCAGTAGTTTTATATTATATGTTTAACTGGTCAGCAGTTTTCTCGCACGCTGAATTTGATGCTCAATATAAAATAAGAAGGAAATTTTAAAAAAGCATTTTTTCTACTATATTTTTTTCGGGAGATGTAGAATCTGCTTTATTTACTTATATTACAACATAAATAAACAATTCACGACAACGCGCCATATTGCTTTATAAATCTTACCTAATACATTAAATTGCAGCAATAACTATGCTTATAACTATATGCTAATAAATTATTTTTTACATTTTAGAAGTATCATTATTTAAAATTCACGAAGTTGGACCTCATCACGGATTTCCCGTAACCTCATACATTCTATTAGTATGTTCATTTTTAAACATAAAATATTTATGCAACAAGTGCAAATAATACTGCAAAGACAGCAAAGGGAAAGCTCCGCAAAAACATTGCTTTTAACTATGTATATGATATTAGATTATTATGATAATCATTGTGATTTTAAAAATAGCATTATTATACATGGAAAATGAAAGCAGACATTATATTGCGCGATGAGAGTTACCGGAATCGGTTTTAATCCCTTAAATTTGTTTCAACAGAATGGCCATTATGTTCAACTTTTAATCATACGAAAGGTTTTGTGACGTAAAAATAATTTATAAAGTATATTGTTTTTTTATATTATTTAAAGAAAACACAGACATATTAAATAGAAATGATTCCAATTTTTGACATGTATATATATATACTTGTCACGGTTCAGAACTGTTCACTATTTAGGGGAGATATTGGGTAAGCGGATGGATAGCTCAATCGGTAAAGCCGCGGTACGGTATTCCGAGGTCCCGGGGTTCGAGTCCCGATCAGCCTGCACATTTTTTATACTCCTCCGCTATATTGAAATGGGTACAGACAACAATGTGAAATTAAAACTCGGAGTTTATACCATCACGGTATCCCTGTTGGGCCCCAAATGTCACAAGGAGAGGAAAATGTGCAGTCTGGCCGGGACACGAACCCAAAAAACCTCGGGAATACCGTATCGCGGCTCTACCGACTGAGCTATCCGGCCGCATATCACACCAATTCCCCTTAATAGTGATCAGTTCTGAACCGAGAACATACTAGCTAGTAAATGTATTATGACTCTCAAATTTTTTATTTCAATTATAAAAACAAAGTAGATATTTTTATCACTCTCAAGTGTTAGGATTTCGCCATATCGACAGAATATATGTATTATGACTCTCAAGTGTTGAGATTTTCAACATATAGACATGATCTATGTATTATGTACCTCAAAGCGTTGGATTTTAATGTCTAGACAAAATATTTGTATAATAGCCCTCAAGTGTTGGGATTTAAATGTCTACACAAGATATTTGTATATTGACCCTCAAGTGTTGGGATTTCAACATATAGACCAGACAATGTATTAATAATTCTCAAATCGTTGGATTTCAATGTCTATATAATATAAATGTATTATGTCTCTCAAGTGTTGGGATTTAAACGTCTACACAAGATATTTTTATATTGACCCTCAAGTGTTGGGATTTCAACATATAGACAAGATTAATGGACTATGTCTCTCAAGTATTGGGAATCAACATATAGACAAGATATATGTTTTATGTCTCTCAAGTATTGGGATTTAAACGTCTACACAAGATATTTTTATATTGACCAAATAAAAAAGATGTAAATATTATATCTCTAAAGAGTTGGAATTTCAACATATAGAAGGAATATATGTATTATGTCTCTCAAGTGTTGGGATTTTAATGTCTAGACAAGATATTGGTATAAGTAATGTCTCTCAAGTGTTCGGATTTTTAATGTCTGGACAAGATATATTTAAAATGCCTCCCAAGTGTTTGGATTTAAACATATAGACAAAGATATATGTATTATGACTCTCAAGTGTTGGGATTTTGACATCTAGACAAGATATTTGTCTAGTGTTGGGAATCAACATGTAGACAAGATATATGTATTATGTCTCTCAAGTGGTATGAATTTAAATGTCTAGACAAGCTATTTTGTATAATGACTCTCAAGTGTTTGGGATTTAAAACATATAGACAATATATTTGTTTTATGTCTCTCAAATGTCGGGATTGAAACGTCTACACAAGATATTTGTATATTGACCCTCAAGTGTTGGGATTTCAACATATAGACAAGATAAATGTTTAATAATTCTCAAATCGTTGGATTTCAATGCCTATATGATATACATGTATTATGTCTCTCAAGTGTTGGGATTTTAACGTCTACACAAGATATTTTTATATTGACCCTCAAGTGTTGGGATTTCAACATATAGACAAGATTAATGTTCTGTGTCTCTCAAGTATTGAGAATCAACATATAGACAAGATATATGTTTTATGTCTCTCAAGTATTGGGATTTAAACGTCTACACAAGATATTTTTATATTGACCCTCAAGTGTTGGGATTGCAACATTTAGACAATATAAATGTATTACGTCTCTCAAGTCTTGGGATTTTAACGTCTAAACAAAATATATGCATAATGACCCTCAAGTGTTGGGATTTCAACAAATAAAAAAGATATAAATATTATATCTCTAAAGTGTTGGAATTTCAACATATAGATGGAATATATGTATTATGTCTCTCAAGTGTTGGAATTTTAATGTCTAGACAAGATATTAGTATAATGTGTCTCAAGTGTTGGGATTTTAATGTCTAGACAAGATATTAGTATAATGTCTCTCAAGTGTTGGGATTTTAATGTCTGGACAATATATATTTAAAACGTCTCCCAAGTGTTTGGCTTTTTCCATATAAACAAGATATATGTATTATGACTCTCAAGTGTTGGGATTTTTGACCTCTAGTCAAATTAATTGTCTAGTGTTGGGATCAACATATAGACATGATATACCATGTATGTAGTGTTATGATTTTAATGTCTAGACAAGATATTTGTATACATGGTTCACAAGTGTTGGGATTTCAACATATATACAAAGATATATGTTTTATGTCTCTCAAGTTTGGGATTTAAACGTCTTGACAAGATTTTGTATTATGACCCTCAAAGTGTTGGCATTTCAACATTAGACAAGATATATGTTTTATGTCTCTCAAGTGTTGGGATTTAAAAGTCTACACAAGGTATTTTTTATTTGACCCTCAAGTGTTGGGATTTCAACATATAGACAAATATATTTTTATTTTCTCTCAAGAGTTTGGATTTTAAACATCTAGACAAGATATATGTAATAATGACTCTCAATGTTTGGAATTTCAATGTCTAGATAAGATATATGTATTATGTCCTCTAAAGTGTTGGGGTTTTTCAACACGTCTTAACAAGATAATTTGCATAATGACCCTCAAAGTGTTGGGTTTTCCACATATAAAAAAGATATAAATTTTAATGTCTTTAAAATGTTGGAATTTCAACATATAGATAGGAGATATGTAAAGTGTCTCAAGTGATTTAATTTCTTAGACAAGATATTGGTATGATGTGTCTCAAGTGTTGAAATTTTAAGGTCTGGACAAGATATATTAAAAATGTCTCTCAAGTGTTTGGGATTTTAACCTCTAGGCTAGATATTTGTATGATGACCCTACAGTAATGGGAATTCATTACATGTATATATAGACAATATATATATGTATAATGTTTCTCAAATGGTTCGATTTTTAATGTCTAGAGATTATATATATTTTTTTGCCTCTATAGTGTTGGGATATCAAACATAAAGGCAAAATATATATATTATGTCAATTCAACATGAAGACCAAAAATATATGTTATTTGTCTCTCAAATGTTGTTATTTCAAGGATATAGACAAGAAATATGTATTATGTCGCTCAAGTGTTGGGGATTTTAAATGTCAAGACAAGATATTTGGTATATAATGTCTCTTAATGGGGTTGCGATTTTAAGGTCTGGACAAGATATATAGAAAATGTCTCCCAAGTGTTGGGATTTTTAACATTTAGACAAGATATTATATTATGACTGTTGGGATTTTAAAATGTCTGGGCAAGATATTTTGTATGATGACCCTTCAATATTTCATTATATAGGCAAAGATATATGTAATTATGTCTCTATAATGGTTGGATTTTAATGTTCTAGACATATATTACTGTATTTGCCTCTTCAGTGTTGGGATTTCAACATTAAGACAAAAATATTTGTTTTATGTCTCTCAAATGTTGTTATTTCAACACATAGACAAGATATATGTATTAT